AATTTTAAGGCGGCAATTTATGATTTGTGAGCATAAGACCGTGAGTCGGGGATCTGGTCGGGGGTCGCGGCTGCGACTGGGACTGTGGCGGGGGGCTACAGCAATAGCCATAGCAATACGTATAGGCCATGGCCAAAACGAAACGAGGAACGCCGCTACGCTCTGCTCTGCTCTGCTCGCTGACAAGTGTGGAGTGTTTGCCGCCGCACTCCTTCACTCACGATGGCCTCTTCTGGGTCCCGCTCTCTTACTCCCTCTATAGCCTTCTCTGTCACACTAGTTGGCCGTTTTTCAATTGTGTTTGCCGCGATTTTACGACTGCCCGCTGTGCCTTTGACAGCCCCCGAACCCGAACCGATCTGAAGAGGAAACCCTTCCCTGGGACTGTGCTCTGCCTCTCCCAGTGAATCGGTGAAGGGATTCGCTTCTTGCCAAAAGGAAAGGCAAAAGGACCTCCCTGGGGGCCTCTAAATGGGATTTGAAAAATCACCTTTAACCAAAAACTAGTTAAAATATTCCCAAAACCATTTTCAATCATATTGGAAAGATGAATTTCCAATGCAATTTGTTTTGAAATGAAAAATGATTCAAAGATGCGGTTTATAAAATATTTTCTGTGACATAAATATTTCTAGAATTTTTCAGGACATTTTCGTACAATTTTCTATGTAAAGAAAATGTAGAAAAATGTTCTAAAATATTCTAGAATTTTTGAAAACATTTTTGTAGTATTTTTAAGTTTATCAGAAGTGCAAAATTATTTCTAAAATATTCTAGAGTTTTTGCAAATAGTTTAGTAGAATTTTTTAGTGCATGTAAAGTATAAAAGAATATTTATAAAATAGAGGCATTTTCTGGAGCATCGGAAAACTTTCTAAAATATTAAAGAACTTTTTAGAAAATTTTTATAATATTTTTTAGTGGACCAGAAGTGGAAAAATATTTTTAAAATATTCTATGTTTTGTAGAGCATTTTTGTAAAATTTTCTAGGGCAGTGGAAATATGTATTTGTAAAATAGTATATACTTTTTTTAGAACATTTTTTAGTGCATCAGAATCATACAAATATTTCTAGCATATTCTAGAAGGAATTTAGAATCATTTTCTGGTGCATAGAATGTGTGAAAACTTTTTTTAAACATTACATAATTTTTCAGAACATTTTGATAGATTTTTCTGCTGCCTCAGAAATTTAGAAATATTTCTTCAATATTCTAGAATTGTATATAACTTTTTCGTAGCTTTTTCTAGTGTAATTAAAGTGTGGAAATATTTCTAAAGTATTACAGAATTCGTTAGAACATTTTAGAAAATATATTTAAGTGCATCAGAGGTGTAAAATATTTAAAAAATATTCTATATTTTGTAGAGCTTTTTCGTAGCCTTTTCTAGTGCACTGATAGTGCGGAAAATTTTCCAAAATATTTTAGAATTCTTGAGAACATTTTTGTGATATTTTTTAGTGCATCAGAAGTGTAAAAGTTTTTCTTAAATATTCTTAAATTTTTGACAACATTTTCTACTCCATCGAAAGTGGAACACATTTTCTAAAATATGATTTTTCTTGAAAAATTGGCTTGAGTCCCACTGTGGCAGACCCAAAGCAGAATAGAGGGGACGGACTGGCAGCAGAGTTCTCCTTACAACACCTTGGTGCAATTATTCATTCACTTGCAAGCCGTGGAACGTGGGGCAGACACGGACGGACAGACAGACGAACAGACAGACAGAGAGAGAATCTTCTGCTGGTCTCTGGCCACCGCAGAAACAGAAACAAAAACAACAAGATGCAAACACACAGCAATCCGCTTTCGCAAGTCGAAAATAAGCAAAAAGGTTTATGAATGCGCACATGAAAAATGGAACATCGTTAAGAGCAATTCATAATGAAATATGCTCCTCCTCGGAGCTGGGATGTGGATCGGAGACGGGAGACGGGCACCGGGAGACGCAAGATGGGAGAGCTGCAACTGAGGATGTGGCAGGGTTCTCCCTGCAACTGCAATAAGTTGCGACCAGGCGGTCGCTGGATTTTTTACAGATCTTTTTCCTTCTTTTTTTTCTCATTTCTTTTTCTTTTGGTTTCTTGGCTGGAAGCAGCACAAAAATTATGACCATAAGCAGGATATTGGGTTAAGGTTTTACCCTCCTCTTACCTTCTTTTGTGTGTGTGTGTGTGTGTGTCTGTTGCCAATAAACTTTGTTGCCGCTGTCGAAATGAAGCTGTTGCCCGTGTGCCCCAGACGAAAGCGGTATTTCAATCAGAGTCTGGAAAAAATAAAGGAATATATGAACAATATAGTATTGGTTGGATATATCGTGTGTATGGCCAGGGCTGGCCTTATCAATAATTTTCATTTTCATTTTCATACGCGCATCGCCAGATACACAGTGAGAGAGAGAGAGAGCGAGAGGTACAGATGGAGACCATAAATATGATTCCCGGACTGACTCCAGAGTCAGCGGCAGAGTCGGTGGGGCACACAGCCAGAGTCGGGCCATCGAGTGGCTAGGGAAATTTATAGAGTCTGTTGCTCATGCTGTCAGGTGAAATAAATAATAAATTCGTTATATTCAGAGTCTCTCTCGCCGCGGCAGTGGCTATCAACAGCCCTGTCTCTGAAAGCCCAGCGACAATAACTCTAGGGGCGTATGATGATGGCACGCCCACATTCAGCATTCAGCATTCGGCATTCAACATTCAACATTCGTGCTCTCTGCACAGCTGCAAGTCTCGCACTCGGCGGACATCGTGGGGGCCCCCAATGGGCAGGGGATACAAATTTGAATTCAATGAAAGATGAAATCATTAAGTTTTCAGGCAATTGAAGGCGGCTGCGAATGCCTACCTTTAATCGTGTCCAAGCCGCACAATGGGCTTTGGGATTGGAATTGGGGCTGTGGCTGGGGCTGTAGCTGGGGCTGGGCTGGGTTCCCGGCGAGATGAGGTTTGGCGTGGCTCTGTTATGACATCAGTGAGACATTCACCGAAAACTCGGGAAAGGAAGTGGAGTCCAGGCTGGCAAATAAGAACTCAATTAGGAAATACCGAAGGGGCATCCGGTGGTAAGGAGAAATTTATGGCGAGAAATTAACAGATTAACAGAAAGTTATGATTGACGCTCGGAGAAAAAAGCCATGAAATTGTTATATTTACAATAGGATTTAAAAAGGTATACCAAAATATCTTGTAAGAGAGTGGAAATTGTAAAAAGAAAGTAGTTTCGTTTACATTTAGGAAAATATTTGTTCAAATATATTTCTTATTGAAAATGAATTAAACAAAAATATAAATTAATTCAATTTAAAATAAATGAATATTAAATTTGTAGTATATATGATATATTTAACTAACTTATTTTAATAAGAAAAAATTGAATAAATAAGTAATATTCGGGTTTTCAATATAATATTAATAGATATAATAAAAAAAAAAATTAAATAAAAAAGTAGTAAAAATTAATTAAATATTTTCATATTAAAATAAATTGAATAATCAAAGTAATTTTATAAAATTGATCAATTTCCGAAAAATTTAAGGATTTTATTAATGTACTTAAAAGTTGTTTATATTTTGATTAAATATGGGCTATATTAAAAAAAGTATTTTTAATGAATTTATATTAAACTCAAATGGAATTCTATTTTAATTATTTTTCTATTAAAATCCCGAATTAATATATAGATTTTTTTTTTTTTTTTTTTTTAGGTACCATATTTCTCTTATTGTGGATCCCGAAATCCAAACTCTCAAAGGATGTCTCTATAGAAAATATAAATTTCTATATCCCACATTAATTACTACCACAATGCAGTCCTCTCTAGCTATCCGCATTCCCTAGCTATTCCCAGTCGAAATAAACACTCCCCTAGGCAAAAAAAAACCCCTGGGAATCGTCATCACTTTTTATGCAGAAAATCCCGAAAAAAACAAAAGGCTGTTGGCAGGGTGGATGGAAAAAAAGCGGTGGCTAATGAGAGGCATAATCAACTTCCCATATTGCATACACAATTGATGCCAGAGCTGCAGTGCCGTGGCCGGGGCAGGGGCAGGGGCAGGGGCCGAGAGCCGTGCCTAATAAATATCAACAGCCACACAAATTTGCCTCTTGGCCAACTCTACCAAGAAAAAAAGTACTGCCAGATCTGAGAGCCAAAGAGCCGACAACAAAAGCGCACATAAATCAACGATCAAGACAATTGCGGTGTAATAATTTCAACTTCTTTAAGTCGGCAGTCGGCAGTCGGCAGCCCACACCACATCCATAGCCACAGAGCCACAGAGCCAGATCCCGGTGCCCCCAGAGGCACAGCCACTCCGCGTCGATCCGATTCGGCGGGGCCATAAAAATAACAGCTTATCGGGGCAAAGAATCGTGTCGTAGCACGCCTACCAACTCAAAAAGGCATTAAAATATGAAAACAACAATTGCACAGGCTCCAGAAGGAGGAGGTGGGATCCAAAAGGAGGTTGGATGGAGATCGGCTGCCTGGGATGGAGATCGGTTGAAGGAGGAGCAGGGGAGCAGTGGAGCAGTGAAGGGTACTGTAGTACAGTACCCTTCAGGTGAAATCAACAGCAGTCGGGGGGCAGGCAACAGCGGTCACGCCCCTCTTTTCTTCATTGTAGGCGTCAGCCGTTGGCAGCGGCACGTTTTTCCTCGTGAAATTCCTAACCAAAAGCCGAAACGAGTAAAAGGCTAAACTAAAGATATATAGAGGTGTACGTACCCCGTGCCCCTCCATCCATTGTTCGTCGCCCCCAACGAATGGAAGAGGATGCGGTGCGGTGCGGGTTACAACTTAGTTAAGAACCCGCCGGAGCCGCATGCGATATCTCAATTTGAGGCTCATAAAAATAACGAGTAATAGGCCCCGACGATAGCGGTGGCCAGCAAGGAGTACGAGTATTTGTAGAAAAAGGCAACGAACAGGAGATACCCTAGAGCAAAGAGAGGTTCTAGTAGCCTTTTCCTTTACTTTCCTTTCAAACTCCAAACAAAATAAGACACAAAAATTCTCTGTTGGTGACCCCGACCCAAAGAAATGGCAGCCGAGCCGCCCAGACCCAGCGAACTGTCCTATTTGGCCGAGCTGAAGACGCGATTCCGGGAGCTGCAGAAGCGTCAGGCCGCCTTCATGGAACAGACGGCCCAAATGCTCACCCGGATGAGCTCTACGGCCGTGGGACAGGTCTTCCTGGACAGTTCAAGTGCGTGTCCCGGCCAGGTTGATATCAAAAGGCTGATTCGACGCTTCGAGGATCTGCGCAAGACCTCGGAACAGTTGAAAAATTTCCAAAGGGTGCCCGAGGAGCTAATTAATGTGGATGTCCGGCGGCTGCTCAAGGACTATGAAAAGTTTATCGAAGAGGGTAATGTGCTGCAGAGATCGTGGCTACGTCTCAGGAAATCTGCGGAAAGTGGCATGGATTTGTCGGAGACCGAAACACTATCGATTGTGGGCACAGAGAGCTCCAAGGAGACCAATGATTCGGTCTCCAAGGAGTCCAAAGATTCGGTCTCCAAGGAGTCCAAAGATTCGACCTCAAAGGAGACCAATGATTCGCCCTCGAAGGAGTCCAGTGATTCGGCTTTAAGGGAGCTCAATGATTTATCCTCTAAGCAGTCCAAGGCTTCGGTTTTGAAGGTGTCCAATGATTCGTCAAAGGTATCCAAAGATTCGGCTTCAAAGGTGTCCAATGATTCGTCCTCAAAGGTGTCCAATGATTTAGCTTCAAAGCAGTCCAAGGATCTATCCTCTAAGGAGTCCAAAGCTTCGGCTTTAAAGCTGTCCAATGATCCAGCTTCAAGGGAGTCCAATGATTTGCCCTCCAACGAGTTCAGGAATGGTTCAGAAGATCTTTTAGTGGTGAAAAACGTAGAAAGGAACTGCAGCAAACAAAAGTACGGTAAGAACTAAAGATTGGAGTCTCGGACGCGAGTCTCGGAAGTCCTACAAGAACACTTTTTCGATGTAGCCTAAAGCGAAGCCTTATTCTGATTTCTAGGACGCGCCCGTTGGGGGGCTCTGTTGCAGCTGATGATACGCCTGAGTCCGTTCCACACTTGCGGCAAGAGGGGCAGAAAGCGGCTGTAATCCGGCAGCAGTTCATCCATTATGCTGCCCAAGGAAATCCCATAGAAATCCCACTTGCCACACACACACATAATCCCATTGAAAATAATCCAATAAAATGCATAAATCAATAGCCAACACCACACATCAGCATGTCAATATTTTGCCTAATTAATGTGGCACGGTCTCGGGGCGCAGTTGCGCATCAATTTCGGGTGTCAAGTGCTCTCTCTCGCTCTCCCTCTCTCCCCCTTTCTCTCTGTCCCTCGCTGTGTGGGTCTTTAAGGAGACCACCATCGCTGCTAATGTAGCCGTTCGCTCTGTGTGTGGATCTGTGCCTGGCTGGGGCGACGTATGGCGGCAACTGGTGCGCTGACAGCGCATTTTAGTCGCCCATGGAATACCGAAAATAAATCTCTTGCCATCTCGTGACACACACAGGGACCGGGGGGAGGGGGGGACGGCGGACAGGTTCTGGAAACGCAACGAAGACAAATACAAAATACTTTTGCCCCCACACAAGCTGTGAGGGGGTGGGGAGGGTAGGCGGAGGGGACACGCAAAGCGAGAAGTAAACATTTAAATTTAAATTAAGTGGCTTGTTCGGCCTCATCGAAAGCAGCAGCTAATGAGACGCCTCTGCAATGTCGGTCTTTGGGGCAGTGGCAAGGGCAGGGAGACATCCATATAGATAGATTGGGGTATAGAGGAGATATCGCAGCAGGAAGCTTCAACGAAATTGATATATTTACTTAAGTGCCTGCCTGGGACTGTCTGTGGGGGGAAATATCTCCGAGGAGATCTCTGATTTGTTAAGATCTTTGTTTGGGGAAAACTTTCACCAGAAAAAAAACAAATATTAATTGCTTGTCAAAGATATTTAAATGGGTTTGTCAATATTAAGAAAAAAAAATTGGGAATAAAATAATGAAAATTTCCAGTTTCAAAAAATATACTATTGTCTATCGTTGTAGTAATTTTTATACGAATCGGATATATGTTTACAGGTGTATCCACCTGCTAGACCTCTGGTTAATCTTTTGTGGCATAAATCTTTGGTTGCAAGTTGCAAGCTGCCATCTAGCATCCTGTTGTATAAATCACACTAAATAAATAGCTAATTAATTATAATTAAAATTACATGCATTTAAATCAGAAATAACAAGTTTATAACCAAATGCAAACACACATTCCAGCCACACCTTCGATTTGAGTCGGGGCATAATAAGAAATCATGTTTGGCAATGATTTGTGGCATCGATGCCATGCCACAGAGATTCGATTCCGCTGGAGCTTGAGCTTATCTGCAGAGCCTGACACGAGTGGCGAAGGCGATGGCGATGCCGATGGCGATGCCGATGCTAATCAGCGACAAGCCGCCGCATGCAACCACCGGCCAGCGACATAGACGGACGAGCGATGCAACATGTGTCCGCAGCGCCACACAGAGATCCCGTCGCGATCGGGGCAAGAGAGAACGGGGAGGGGGGTACAAACAAGTTGCAAACTGTTGCCGGCATCGCCATTAGCTGTCACGTCGTCGTTTTTGCATTTTGCGCTGTGTCGTTTTCCCCAAACGGTGGCACAGCCAGCAGCAACAGGTGGAGGAGACCAGACGAGACGGGACCCACCAAATAAGGCAGAACGTTTCGCAGCATTCATTCCCTGACCTTCTCCCTGGGAACAACTGCTCGAGCGGTTGGCGCTGGTTGCTGGATGAACTTTAAGCCGGAGATCACATTATTACATTGGTACATTAAATTACATCACGTACATGGCTAATGATCAGGCTTTAAAGATTAGCCAGCCAGCCAAACATTATTAATAGCGCTTTTAAGATCAATAAATATATTTAATTTAACATGGAGAATAAATAAAAATATTTATTGAGCCTTTAGGATATAATATAAATCACGATTTGGTGCGAAATAAAATAAAATAAAATATATATAAATAAAATAAAATAAATATAAAAAAATATAAAATAAAATAATATTGAATATAAAATATAATAAAAAATATTAATATATATTGCATAATACTAAATTATATATTTTATTAATTATTTTTAATTTAAACATAAGAAAATATTTTTATAATATTTCAATAACGATTTATAATATCGAATATAATATAATAAATATAAATATATATAAAATAATACTAAATAATATATTTTCTTAATTATTTTTACTTTAAACATAAGAAAATATATTTATAATATTTCTTCTGCGATTATTTATGGAAGATCCAGCTACTATAATTATTGTATAATTTATCTGCCACCATTTCCTACATTCCCCTCCATTTAATCGTCTTACAGTCTTACAGATATAAAGAATCAACATTTATAGAGCTGTGCGCCATTGGAGTGTGTACACATGCCCATCGTCCGTAGAATCGTCAGTGTGCACACATCCGAGCGGTCGACGCCTAGTCAAATATTAAACAGACGAGAGATTGTTATGGTTCCGCGGAATGTTCCAACAATTGTAAACTGACATAACAAATAGTTCTGGGAATTCGTCATACCAGTCCTCATCCCACCTCTCACACCCACCAGAGGCCGAAACACGAAGCACACGCCCACGCCCACGCCCACGAATTTTTGGACACAGACATGAGAGGCCAGTGCCAGTGCAGTGCAGAGGGACCGTGGCAGGGGTCGGAGTCGGAGTGGGAGTCGTTCGCTTTGATGTTGCACCGACGCGACGCGACGCACGTTGGCAGACGTCTGTTCACCTAATTATCACACTATTTGAGGCATCGTAAAAGCGAGACACAACACACAACCGAAAAGGTAATGAGAGGGCGGACTGCGACTGCCTGTGGCCTCTCTACCGTGTACCGGAGGAATGAAACGTGTAACGCAAGTGTTCCATTCCGTTTCGTTCCGTTGCATTTGTCGCTCAGATGGGGCGCATCATAAACCCATAAAAGTGTGAAAGGATAGCGGGCCACATCAAAGCGCATCGCATCGGGCATTCATTATACGAATACGACTGAACATCTCCGCTAAACTGAAGCGAATGAAACGATGTGTTATATTTACATATGCAATCAACCGACAGCCGACAAGACACGAGGTACGATGTTCCAGGGAGAATAATTAGAATGTTTTTTCCACAGAAAAGAGCGCTGATCTACAAAGGGAGCGTCGCTTCAGAACTGGAATATGATATAATATAAATCTGCTCAGGAAAACCATCAAAGAATAGGCAGCATTAATAAGAATAATGGCCTATCGAAAGCTATTAAATTGATTATTGATTATCGAAAAAATGCATTAAATTGATACAAAATTTATCGCATTCCGTTTACATATTTTCTGGTATCGTCTGGAGAGAACTGGAATATGATATAGTATACAAATCTACTCTTGAAAACCATCAAAGAATCAATTATAATACATAGAAAGGCTGATCGAAAGTTATCAAATTAATTATCGATTGAAGAGAGTTATCGTAAAGGCTTAATAATAAAAAACCGACAATTATAATAAAAAAGGTGATTCCTCGATATATGCGATTCTAACAAAGGATGTCGTATTTTTGTATTGATTGAGGGTTAAACAAAGACATTCTAAAGCATGATAACTATCAACATTTGTAGTAAAAGCTATCGTCTTTCGATTATCATAATTACTCTGGTATCGACTTCAGATATAAAAAAAAATATCAGATTCTTTTGATATTTATGGGGTAAATAACTGAACACTTGTGCCATTCCTTAAATACTTAGTTACCACTTTCCCCATTCATCATCCAATAAGGGGGCTTTCCCCCCGGGGCGGACTTTCATTTGAGTTTCCGATTAATTTCAGTGTAGTAGCCACCAAATTAGTGGCAATTTACATCCGCCAACGAGAGAGGGAGAGAATCAAGGGGCGAAGGAGGAACTGACGTACGGGGAATCTATGGGATTTACGAGGCAAGTGAAGGCAGCAGAGAATTAGACCCTAGTCCGGCGGGAAATGGAAAATCCCGACCACTGCCAACCGCCAACCGCCAGCTGCACTTGCACATGCAAACTAATAAATTTCATTGATGTGTCTATTTTCGGCTGCCCCCGCATCGGCCACTCCCCTCCTCTGTGGAGCTCTAAAGAGCCTCCAAGTGCCTGCAACGGAAGCAATTTGTAGCTACAAGCTGTAATTTCCAACCAGACCCCAGACCCCGTTTTCCGTCCCGTCCCTGGGCCAACGCCTCTTCTGACATTCCTCCGACCAAATAAAAAAGACGTCGATAATTCTTAAGGCAACGGCGCGAAAATCGGGCAAATTTTCGCTGTCAGTGGTCGGATCTAATGGGGCGGGGGGAGGGTGGAGGACCCCATACTCGTACTCGTACTAGACCCCGTCGTGTTGGCTTCACAAAGCAATTGCTGCACATTTTATTTAACCCTTTTTATGGCCTCATTATGGGCCATACGGGGCGGAGACCGGGACCGGGACCGGGACTGCCAGACAAAATATATCTTTGCAGCAATTCTCCCTGAATCGGGGTAGCACCACTCCTGACTTATGGGGGAGGGGGGGCATATGGGGGGGTAGCGAAATGGGTGCGAAATGTCTGGCGGAAATGAGGCTAGGAATCAAGCAAATAAATGTTTTATAAAATGTTTCCAGCACACACACAAAGTAACTGCTGGGGAAAGGCTCCAGCTCTCGGCTCCCGGCTCCCGCTCCCGGCTCCTTCCCCAGCGATTCTCGAGCCATTAAAATGAAATTTATCGTTCACAATGTTTTATGGTTCTTGAAATTTTCGTACAAAATGGAGTTACTCGGTAATTTGGTAACAAAATGAATGTAATCCCAGCCATTGGGTTCATATACTCGTAAACTGTGCTACTTTGTCTCTAAATATTTCCACCCGAGCGAGTAGCGAGTCTCACACTCGTACATATGATTAACGAGTGTCTCGTTGGGGAAATGGTTTGGGTTTTCTTCTTTTGGAATGAAATTATATAAAGAAAAGGCAGGAGCAAAGGTGGAAGGATAGACAACATCCAAGATGGCAAATAAAGAGAAGAAAAATGAATTTCATCTGGTTTTAAACGATATTTATCGGTGCCTGAAGAAGGAGAGAAATGCTCCATTTACTACGTGATCTCTTTGATCTTTTTCTCTGGATTTTATATCAAG